AGTGTTGTTGAGGTTAACCCAATGAGAAGTGAGTGTTGTTGAGGTTAACCCAATGAGAAGTGAGTGTTGTTGAGGTTAACCCAATGAGAAGTTAGTGTTGTTGAGGTTAACCCAATGAGAAGTTAGTGTTATTGAGGTTAACCCAATGAGAAGTTAGTGTTGTTGATTTTAACCCAATGAGAAGTTAGTGTTTTAGAGGTTAACCAAATGAGAAGTTAGTGTTGTTGAGGTTAACCCAATGAGAAATTAGTGTTGTTGAGGTTAACCCAATGAGAAGTTAGTGTTGTTGAGGTTAACCCAATGAGAAGTTAGTGTTGTTGAGGTTAACCCAATCAGAAGTCAGTGTTGTTGAGGTTAACGCAATCAGAAGTTAGTGTTGTTGAGGTTAACCCAATGAGAAGTTAGTGTTGTTGAGGTTAACCCAATGAGAAGTTAGTGTTGTTGAGGTTAACCCAATGATAAGTTAGTGTTGTTTAGGTTAACCCAATGAGAAGTTAGTGTTGTTGAGGTTAACCCAATGAGAAGTTAGTGTTGTTGAGGTTAACCCAATGAGAAGTTAGTGTTGTTGAGGTTAACCCAATCAGAAGTGAGTTTTGTTGAGGTTAACCCAATGAGAAGTTAGTGTTGTTGAGGTTAACCCAATCAGAAGTGAGTTTTGTTGAGGTTAACCCAATGAGAAGTTAGTGTTGTTGAGGTTAACCCAATCAGAAGTGAGTTTTGTTGAGGTTAACCCAATGAGAAGTTAGTGTTGTTGAGGTTAACCCAATGAGAAGTTAGTGTTGTTGAGGTTAATCCAATGAGAAGTTAGTTTTGTTGAGGTTAACCCAATGAGAAGTTAGTGTTGTTGAGGTTAACCCAATCAGAAGTCAGTGTTGTTGAGGTTAACCCAATGAGAAGTTAGTGTTGTTGAGGTTAACCCAATGAGAAGTTAGTGTTGTTGAGGTTAACCCAATGAGAAGTTAGTGTTGTTGAGGTTAACCCAATGAGAAGTTAGTGTTGTTGAGGTTAACCCAATGAGAAGTGAGTGTTGTTGAGGTTAACCCAATGAGAAGTTAGTGTTGTTGAGGTTAACCCAATGAGAAGTTAGTGTTGTTGAGGTTAACCCTATGAGAAGTTAGTGTTGTTGAGGTTAACCCAATCAGAAGTTAGTGTTGTTGAGGTTAACCCAATCAGAATTTAGTGTTGTTGAGGTTAACCCAATCAGAAGTGAGTTTTGTTGAGGTTAACCCAATGAGAAGTTAGTGTTGTTGAGGTTAACCCAATGAGAAGTTAGTGTTGTTGAGGTTAACCCAATGAGAAGTGAGTGTTGTTGAGGTTAATCCAATGAGAAGTGAGTGTTGTTGAGGTTAACCCAATCAGAAGTGAGTGTTGTTGAGGTTAACCCAATGAGAAGTTAGTGTTGTTGAGGTTTACCCAATCAGAAGTCAGTGTTGTTGAGGTTAACCCAATGAGAAGTTAGTGTTGTTGAGGTTAACCCAATGATAAGTTAGTGTTGTTGAGGTTAACCCAATGAGAAGTTAGTGTTGTTGAGGTTAACCCAATGAGAAGTTAGTGTTGTTGAGCTTAACCCAATGAGAAGTTAGTGTTGTTGAGGTTAACCCAATGAGAAGTTAGTGTTGTTGAGGTTAACCCAATGAGAAGTTAGTGTTGTTGAGGTTAACCCAATGAGAAGTTAGTGTTGTTGAGGTTAAGCCAATGAGAAGTTAGTGTTGTTGAGGTTAACCCAATGAGAAGTTAGTGTTGTTGAGGTTAACCCAATGAGAAGTTAGTGTTGTTGAGGTTAACCCAATGAGAAGTTAGTGTTGTTGAGGTTAACCCAATGAGAAGTGAGTGTTGTTGAGGTTAACCCAATGAGAAGTGAGTGTTGTTGAGGTTAACCCAATGAGAAGTTAGTGTTGTTGAGGTTAACCCAATGAGAAGTTAGTGTTGTTGAGGTTAACCCAATGAGAAGTTAGTGTTGTTGAGGTTAACCCAATCAGAAGTTAGTGTTGTTGAGGTTAACCCAATCAGAAGTTAGTGTTGTTGAGGTTAACCCAATCAGAAGTGAGTTTTGTTGAGGTTAACCCAATGAGAAATTAGTGTTGTTGAGGTTAACCCAATGAGAAGTGAGTGTTGTTGAGGTTAACCCAATGAGAAGTGAGTGTTATTGAGGTTAACCCAATGAGAAGTTAGTGTTGTTGAGGTTAACCCAATGAGAAGTTAGTGTTGTTGAGGTTAACCCAATGAGAAGTTAGTGTTGTTGATTTTAACCCAATGAGAAGTTAGTGTTGTTGAGGTTAACCCAATCAGAAGTGAGTGTTATTGAGGTTAACCCAATGAGAAGTTAGTGTTGTTGAGGTCAACCCAATCAGAAGTGATTGTTGTTGAGGTTAACCCAATCAGAAGTTAGTGTTGTTGAGGTTAACCCAATCAGAAGTTAGTGTTGTTGAGGTTAACCCAATCAGAAGTTAGTGTTGTTGAGGTTAACCCAATCAGAAGTTAGTGTTGTTGAGGTTAACCCAATCAGAAGTGAGTGTTGCAAAGCTTCGTGTACCTCTTCATTAGCGCCCCTCGCTGTACCAGGGTTGAGAGAATGTTGACTCGCCTGTAGAGGGCCGCAAGGTGTATCGGCGTCAGGCCCTCACCGTCCCGGTCGTTCTGGGCATAGTTGCCTTTAGGTGAGGCCAGCATGATGAGGATGGTGTTGTATCGGCCAGCGCTGGAGGCGGAGAGTAGGAGAAACAAGGGTCTTAACCGGTTGCACGCTTTTTACACCGGGTCCGGGTATTTTGAGAAAATACCCAGTGGGTCAAAGTGTTAAGAAAAAAAAAGAGTTAAATTATCATTTTCTATAACATGCGACGAAATCTACTGCCCTATGTCGTAGTGAGAGTGCAGTGCCTTCGTCAACGATTTGTGTCATGAAATTACCCACTGATAGGATCAGGCAGGGCGTAGCTAGGGGTGGGGGTGCGAGTGTATGTGTGGACCGCACCGGGTGTCACCATTCAAGGGGTTGAAGTGTTCGATAACTATCGTAACAGAAAGGAAGCTATATTTATCTAAATTCTGAGAAATAAAGCTTTCCATTGATGCCAAATTCAATGTGGTCGGGCGATTCTAAGTACATGAATCGAATCTTTAAAAATTAAAACCATTTAAAAAAAAAAAAGACTTTTTACCCATTTATAAGGTTAACAAAATAATATTTTACAAAATGTTCTAATATCTTTTAATAAATAATTTAAATTAATTAAAAACATTTTTAAAAAGTTTTTAAAACCAAATATATGGGGACCCAAAAACGCTAAAAAAAATAAATAAATATTTTCGTCGATTCTTCACTAGCGCCGCTAGTCTCATTAGAAAGACCTACATGTTTTTAAAACAAAATTCTGATTGTCATACTGCACAAGTTCTTTTACATGCTGTCTGTGATTTAACATTTATCTGCTAACTTTACATTTGGGCAGATCTACTTGAGGAAGTTCATCTTAAACAGCAGTATCTGCAGAATAAAGGCTTTACTTTTGACAAAGTGGTGACTACCCTATAGACTAAAATAACGTATACTGACACAACGGCCTTACTTTGACTCTCATGGGGACGTTCTCAGTGAGCGTTACTTACACCAATGCAACGTGGAAGGGTGACTGTTTGTTCTTGTCCTTGATCAGAATGTTCCCCCCAAGTTCCAGCAAGGTCTTGACCCCACTGACGGAACCGCTGTAGGCTGAGTAGTGCAGGGCCGTCTTGCCTAGATTGTCACGGTCGTTGACCAGCGTCGTGATGTTCGGAATAGTCTGTAACGATGAACATCGGACATCAGCCGTCTTTACAGCCGTATTGAATGGAACGGTAGGGGAACCATTTGAAATTGATGTCAACATGCTGCCAGTTGGTGAATAATGATGAAACCACGGCATACATTAATACATATCTTTGTCTAGGTAGGAAAGGAAGTCTGGTGTAATGGTCAGTTCAGCAGGGCGTAAAATAACATTCCAGTGACTGCGCCAATGAGATTCTTTGAATTTGGTGCGTGTCCTTTTTCTGTTGTTTTACAGAAATGGTCTGAATTCAAATTAGATCCAATAAAACTGTGTTGTAACAGGATGGGTGGGGTGGGACATAAGAATATTTATTTATTTCAAGGGCGTGAAAAAAGTGTGTGGTAAGATATGTGAGGGGGGGGGGCGGTGTGTGGGTGAAGTAGCACTTATTGGGGTTTTTAAAGTGCGTTACTTGAGTTCATGTTTTGTCAAGTAACCTTAGTATCTATAGATGGGAAGTTCATGCATTGCCACCGCCATTGTTTGACAAGCTTAACTAGTGAATGCATGTTTTTCTTACATTAAAATTGGCTTAAATGAAGTTAATAAAAATGTATCGAAATATTTGATTTTCTATTCAGCACATACTTTGTTCTTAAATGATCAAATATTATATTACACTTCAGAGTTAATAAAGTTCCCTGGACTAGGAAAGTTCAACGGGGATTTTAAAAAAAGTAAAGACATTTTAAAAAAGTTTTTTTTTTTTTAAAATCTAAAGGGCAGACGTGAATGAGAAATAGAGAAAGTTAATTCTTTAAATTCTGTGAAATTTTCGTTGTTATTATTATTTTTTTTTTTTTAACCACACTTTCAATTTCAACCAACTTTCGTTCAAACCAAACAACGTTTTAAAGATTGGTTTCAAACAAATTATGTTCATGCTAATAGCCGATGCGATCACAAAGGGATTACCTTAAGCACAGGCAGCATGCTCACCAGGTCCATGTCATTGCGCACGGCCAGGTGCAGGAAGTTCCGTTGTCTGTAATCGATGGCGTTTGTGGGGGCATTGTGCTGGATCAGCGTGAGAACCGCTTCTTGTGCACCGCTGGAAGCTGCCAGGATAAGGGGCGTCTGGTGCAAGACGTCGCTGACGTTAATCTTGGGGCACTGAAATAAATGTGTAGACGAAAAGGGGTGGGGGGTACACTGGGAAGTGAAACATGCTGAGGAGTTAGTTGTACTGGTGTGAGAGTCGTACTGACATGAGAGACCTTGATGTATTATAAATTGAGTTGTACTGGTTTGAGATACCATGATGTGTTGGAAATTGAGTTGTACTGGCATGAGAGACCTTCATGTGTTGGAAATTGAGTTGTACTGGTATGATAGACCTTGATGTGTTGGAAATTGATTCGTGATCAGTGTTTTTTTTCAGAAAAGATCCCCCAGGGGGGCATTTCATATTTTGAGAGGACGGGCAGTGACAGGGGCCAGAGGCGTAGCTAAGTGGTGAAAAGGGGGACATATATCCCCATGCACCATACCAGAGGGACGCCAAAATGGGGTGTGATGGTATTTAATGCATCAAAATAATGGTTTTCAGAGTTGAGGAGAAGGGGCGTAAAACTAAATCAATGTCCCCTGGCGCCAAACACTCTAGATACACCTCTGCAAGTGCGGCGGGATGGGTCGTCAGCCAAGATGTCAAATTCTCTTTATAAGGAGGGGAAGGATTTTATGACCAATGCAGAGTTTGTATCGTTAACTGGAGCGTGGCATAAGTCTTGGCAAGTCTAGGGTACCAATAAAACTAGCTACTCCAATAAGTTGTTTATCTATGAGGACTAACACTAGCTATGCCACTGAGTAGTGAATATATCATCAAGAAAAAATATGTTTAGCGCTAGCTGTACTGTCATTTTTATAAGGAAGAAGGCCAGAAGTTAATGGTACTGTTGGCTCTTAAGTAAAAGGGGAGGGGCCTAGGGAGCCCTCCCCCAGAAAATGTTGCATTATTTCAGGGTAATCATATGGCACAAGCTTTTATTCAACCCTATACTGCAACATTGCTCAGCATGGGGGAAGGGGTGTACCATTTGAGGGTGCTGAAAACGGTCGCACATATTCAAAATGCAGGGATGCATTTTGGCGCATACTTGAATTTGGTATTATTTCAGGCAATTTTGAGTGGGGGTGGGAGGGGGGTTGAGATTTTCCTGTGCGAAACGCTAAAATTGGACATAATTAGAAATATATCTCACTTGCTTCAGCCCAACATGAACTAAATACATTCCAACGGAGACGTCCTTGTCGGTATGCATTTTCCTAGCTCAATATCGTTTATTACATCTTTATGGTCCCCGGTAGAGTTTTGATTACTTAAAAATAAATTAATACATTTTAGCAAATACTTAAAATTAAGTTTTGCAACATTCTTCACTCGGAGAGCAACGGAAGAGATGCGAGTTTTAAAAAAATGTAGGTGTCACCTAACCTTAGGAACATCGTGTGAGCTCAGCAATCCCTACGACTGCAGTGGGTCTCGGATAAGTCGAGTGACAACACTGCTTGACGTAGTTGTGTTATGCAAATATTTTTTATATATTACTAAGTAGTATGTGGCTTTCATTAAAAAAATAATAAAACCTCTTTGAGGGTTATCTACATAATTGATAAATGAACCTAAAAAAGAAAAGTTTTGCATGAGAAAAAAGCACTGCTAACATCATTTCATATGCTAAACACAAATGAAAAAAATGTGCAATAAGCGTACGTGAAATAATTAACTTTGCTAAACATTTCCACGTTTTACCATAGTCAAAAAAGAAGGAAAAAAAACTGTTAAGTAGAAATGTCAATGCATTTTTATGGGTTATCTAAACAGGTCATTTTTATAAATGGTATATAAACATTATTTTAATGTAAAGAAGACATGAGTGGTTTACAAAATAGTAGAAATTTCCCAAATATTCAGCTGATTGATTATTTTTAAAAACTTCCATTTTAAACTACAATAATTCCGATCAATTGAACATTGTCACTTAAATTTACTTTAAAAGATTTTCCCCCGAAAATCCACAGAATTTATTTTAAATTGACAAATTAGGAACACTAATCTATTCTAAAACAAGAATCAAAATAATCAGTAATCAACTGCCAGTTTATCTTCTTTATGTCAGCTTTCTGATAGATTCTCATCTTGAAAAAAATATTATTTTAAAAGTCAATCCTTGCAAACAGATGTTTGTTTATTATTCTAATATTAAAAAGATAAAAGCTGGTGGGAATTGAATAAAAACTGCTAAATATTTTTTTAACCTTTGTTATTCAAGAAACTTTGTTACAAACGTAGCACGTTTAAAGAAAACAGAAACTTTTTCTATATAATAATTATTGAAATTTGCACTATTTGCATGCGCCCGTTAAATTCTTAATTAAAAAAAAAATCTCTCAATTTTAAAAAAAAATTGTTTGTATAACTCAACATTTTTGGAATCGAGTACATTTATAGTTATGCAAATAATTTCTTTTAAGGCTAATATCATCATACAATTGATAATTAACTAACTATCCCTAATTTACAAGTAATGCTTTTATAATGAAATACAATTAGAACATAGATGCATATGTTTGATACTTGGCAAGAATTTTAAATTTTTAAAATTTGTGAATTTATTCACAAAAAAAAAAAAAAAAAAGAATAAACACACCGATAAGTGTGAACAACGGGAAGTAAGACTTCGACTTATAATCAGACGCGGCCAGTACGATATTTTTAATTAATTGTATAAGCCATAAGCCTTTAACAAGATTAGCCATACAAATAAGGATCATCATCAATGTTCTCTCTAAGGTTTGTTGGTTCGTGTGCAAAATCATACGGTTGTGTGCAAAGTTTTACAGCATCAATTTTTTTTGTGTGCAAAATTTTACAGCCCACAAACACAAACACACACTTATATGGAAATTTGCTGCGCGGATACCCAAAACTGCTGCGCGGCTCCTGTGAGATAGCTGCGCGGCCGCGCAGCCGCGCACCTTAAAGGGAATGTTGATCATCATATATATCGAGCGTAGCGATATTTAATAGTTTCCACTAATTGTAATCGGATAAAGACACCAGTTACTATTCTTTTTAAAACTGTTTAAAAATGAAAATTTATTCCTTTTTAATTAAAAAAAAAATATAAGCGTTCTATTGTTTTTACCCATTTTGCTCCGGGGGTGGGTGGGGGGGGGGGCACTTGACTTTCCACAGGAGAGATGCCTGTAAGAAACCCTATGTCGTTATAGCATGACGTGCTGGTAAAATTAATATATTCTCCTTTACTAAAAATGAAAATTTTCCCTTTGAAGTTAAAACACTCAATGTTTAAGCACCACCCCCTCCCCCCCCCACCGTCCCCAAACCACTCCCATCAGCAACTGCACTTTAAATCTATTGTTGACTCAACCTGTTTCAACAAGAACTCCAATGCCTTTACATGGTTGAACAGCGCAGCCCAGTGGAGTGGGGTTCTGCCCTCGCAGTCCTGGGTCTCCATGGCGATCTTCATTTCGAGGGGTCTGATCCTGTCCATGGTCTGGAGGAGCTCTTCTGCCCCCTGGGCGGCAGCTTGGTGGACGGGGGTCGAGTCGCCAGTCTGTGGTGCATCAGTTAAAGGAAAAGTAGTCTCAGTATTACGAAAAAATAGTTTCAATGGACAACGCAAGGAAACATAAAAAGAAACAAAAGAAACAATTAATTATCTTTGCTGTTGCTGGAGTTAGTAAATAGTATTATGGGATAAAGTTGAATGGTTACTATGGAGACGACCACGTCAACAAAACTGAAACGCGGTCGTGGATTGTGAATAACATCTACAATTAATCTTCAAAATATAAACATTCTCCTACACTATATCCTAATCTTCCAACGCTGCACCTCATCCAACGTTGCCCCTCATCCAACACTGCCTCTCATCCAACACTGCCCCTCATCCAACGTTGCCCCTCATCCAACACTGCCCCTCATCC